TTTTTGGTCATCTATTATTATTTTTCGTCGCACAGAAAGTTCCGATTACATTCACTAAAAAAAAACGTTTAAACACAGCCAACAAACACTTGGAAGAGAAAAAATACTGACTTGGTTTTTTTGGATAAATTCCTCAATTTTCGTATTTCTAAAACAGCTTACGATTGATCAAAAGATGAAATAATTGGATCAATGAGTAAATTTTTTACTTCGCTGCGAATTCTGAAAATTAAACTGCATTTGCAAAACTAGAAGTCAATCACGTTTTCGTGACCTTTACAGTTTAACTGTTACTTAAGTGGCGTTTTTCTTCATTTTACCTAGAAAAACTGAATTAAACTTGAAATAGTAATCAGAAACCAAACTGCGAAAAAGTAAATTTGACCTGAACAAATTTTAAGGCTTTTCCTGAAAGAAGAGTATGAGTCTGAACTACATTCATCGACTATTATAACTGTGTTTTTTTTTCTTTTTAAAACGAAACCTTGCATCATATTTTCTGCCAACTTTTCGAATCACGGCTGAAAAGGTCTTCAATGTGATACACAGCGGCAAACTGAGATTCGCACCTCTTATCATACAAGACAAGCATAAAAAAAACGTGACTCGAAAAAAAAATGAAAAACGTTAACTAGGTGAACCAAAATTTTTGTATGTCCATCGATGAAGGAAACCTAGAAACCAGTTGAAGCTGAAGGAAGGTATTTGATATTTTTGAATTTGTTATAAAGCTGCAAGACAAATGCGTACTTTCAAAAATTGGAATTTGCCCAAAACCTTTGCCGAAGTTGTTTCTCTAGGAGTTAAAAAATATTTGATATTTTGGAACGTTTACAAAAATATAACATTTCTCGTACAAAAAATAAGGAATAGCCAATTCTGCAGGAAAAATTCGCGCAATCACTTCTCTCGATTGAACTTTTTATCTCAGATATGTTAGGGTAGTTTTTAAGAAAATTTTGCAAAACGGTCGAAGTTCAAAAACTTTGGGAAATCTGTGATTTTTTCTGCTTAAAGTTGGTCGTGGCCCGTAAAGCAAAAAAAAATTCCCAACATCGGATTTCTCGATTGAACTATTGGCCTGAGATTTGGCAGGGTAACTTCCAGGTAAAGTAAAAAAAACTTCAAAAAACGGCCTTACTTCCAACTTTCATTTATTTCAAGTCCATCACTTTTTTCAAGAAAAAAAAACAGGACGTAGAACAGTATAAAGGTAAAATTTCAAGAACATTTTGGGTCGATTAAACCTATGATATCAGATTTGGGAGGATAGTTATCGAGAAAAGTCCAAAAAACGGGCAACAAATCAGAGAGTTGACCTTTCCGAAAATCATATCTATTCCTTAGAAAAATGAGGGCGTAGCCGCTAATGAAGAAGAGATTCATCTAACCTGTAATTTCCAATGAAACCAAGAACCCAGCTTTGGTAGGGTTGTTCTCGAAAAAGTTTCAAAAAAAAGGTCAAAACTTTCAATATTTTATGTGTAATAGAATCTGTGAGAGGCCGCTAATTCCGGGAAGCTTAACCACTACGCGTTATCTCTTTTGAACCCACAACCTCATGTTTGAGAGGCTAGTTTTCAAGATTCAAAAAGATTCTAAAAACGGTCAAAAGAATCATATAGGTCACTGAGGGCGATAATTTTACGTGTAAAAAAAGTTTTGGGGCAACCGCTTATGGAGGTCAGTGATTCTAAATCGTTCTATTCATTAAAACCAAAACCTCAGATCGGTCAAATATCCCCCCTCGACACTTTCGAAGGCTGTAGACAAAAGCTTAAAGCAAACAGAGATCAGGGGAGCATGCAGGCACACAAGAGTGTTAGCAGTCTTTCTATGGATATCCCTTTTTTGAAAATCGAAAGAAGGATTTTTGATAAAGCGTCTCAAAAAAAACAGCCCATACATTTTCATAGTACCTTTTTTTATCAAGCAGGAAATCTAGACAAACATGCCAAGCAAGACATTTGAAGTTCAAATTAGCAACTAAACAAAATTAACGAAGCGGAAACAAGGCTGACAATATTTGTGCAGACATCAGTTGAGATAAGAAAAAATTTCAAGTTCCACCTGAAACTACCGCAGAAACTAGTACCCATCCAGTAGTTAAATTTCAATTTTCATGAAATTGAGCGTGTCAGCTGCATAGAAGCATCATAAGCAGTTCAACTAAATAGGTTAAACTAGTTGTTAATTCGAAAAAAGACTACATTCCGATTTGATAACGCTTTTAATCGCAAGCGTAATAAACGCGTAATAACACTCGAACTATTCCATTGATTATTTGTGGCACCTGATTTCGCGAGGAAAACACAAAAAAAACAAGGATACCGGTAACTGTGCAAGTAGCACAGATGTTCCGACCAGAGTCTTTAAAAACTTCGGTTTAGAAAAGTTTTTTTTCTCCAATTTAATGTAGTTTTTTCTGCTTGATGTGATATAAGGGTGTGATTTTGAAATTTTTGCTTGCTGTGATTTTGAAATTTTTAGTTCCCAAAATGAAGCTGAAAACTCAGAAAACTAGTTTGTTTTAATGAAGCTAAAAACTCAGAAAACTAGTTTTACTTGCTTAAAATTAAATTTTAAGGTCTTAATATAGGCATAATTCAGCCGTTGTAAGCCTGCTCGCTCGCTTTATTCCCTCGAATTAAGACAAAAAACTAGAGAAAAATTTTGGGAAGTTTTTAATGTAGTTAGAATCACGTCAGTAAGGGCTTTAATATGATACATCACACAACCCAGTCCGATCATTGATTGTGATACCTCACTTTGCGTGGAAAACAAAAAAACTAAAACACACCCGAATACAAAGTTTCCTCCCCATTTTCAATGATCGGAGCAAAAACAATTACAATGGTAAATAGAATAAAATGATAAAATTACAGCCAGTTGCTGTGCAAGTAATAATATAGAAAAATCCTATCACAGAAAAACTATCACCACTTGCGGCAGAAAAATCACAGGAGCTGGTGTGAAAAAAAAATAATTAGCGTCTGATAACTAGCTTACAAACTCCGAAAACACGACTCAGCACAAAAAACTGGCACTTAAAAAAATTGAGCCGAAAAAACTGGAACGAAAAAAAATCAGAAAAATCTCAGATTATTTTATTAAGTTGCAAGAAGGCAAAAAGTGAAACAAGTACAGAAAAAGCAAAAAAGCCTTGGAAAACAAAACTCTTGCGATCTGCCTGAATCCAATCACAAATTTAGAGACCAAGAGTCGCACATCCTCGGATCAACGCCTTGCACTAATAAAAAAACAAGACGCAATAGAGCGGATAAACATTAGCTAGTACATTGCCAACGCTATGCAGCAAAAGTGCTACCAAATGAGCACTTAGGAAAAAGTGATATCAAAAATAACACTACGCTCGTTCGCTCGACTGTGTTATTAGCACGTAATAACACCAGTTAGTTCTTTTTCTACAAAAAAATGTGAAAATGAGCAAGTCATCATATGAAACTACAAAAAAAAAAGAAATTGAGCAAGTCATCACATGAAACTCGCAACTGTAACTCAACAGAGATGAAGCTGAGCCTCAAAAACTTGCGGTACAGCAAAAAAAATCCCTTCGTTTTCTAATTTCATAAAATAGATGCCCTTTAAGCTCTTTGAATTTCTAGAACGATAAATGATTGGCGCTTTTTTGATAACATTAACCCAATTTGAGAAAACTGGATCAATAGGTTAAACTTTCATTTCGCTGGGAAATCTAAAAATTAAATTCCACTTTCGAAACAACAAATCGTTCACGTTTTTTGGCTCCATTTCCACGTTCGTATTTGGAGAGTGCTATTTACGTCACTTTCAGCAGATGAATTTCAATTGAACTAAAAAAAAGCATATATACAGTTCGCATCTCCAATAACATAATTTAGACTCAACCGATCATAAACGTCAATTCGATGTAGCAACTCAACGAGATGTCACAAAATTGAACTCATTGCAGAACATGCAGGCCAACAATATTAAAACACAGGCGAAGTGGAGCTTCGCTTCATTTGCGATACCTCACAAATATGTTACAACAAGCTAGCGGACAGACAGGGAAAGGAAAGCCATTGGTTTTGAGAAAACTGTTAAACACTACTAAATTTCCATATTTTGCGTGGAATGATATTTGATTGTGAGAGACAAGTCTAGAGACACAATCGCCGGTCGAAAAAAGTTGGTAAACTACTCTTTAGTCGAAAAAAAAATAGTGTTATGAAAAAGTTCGAAAGTTCTTACCTTTTACGCCCCTCTTCCCTACGGAAACAGAAGTATAAAATCTTTTCCCCTTTCAACCAACGCAAAATTATGACACTAAAACAAGAAAACAAAAGGACACTATTGATGCAAAATATGGCTTTTAACGGAAAAAAAAAACATTTGTTTCACAAAAAAAAAAAACATATTTAGACAATTTTAAAATGCACGAAAACATCAAAAAAACATTTTCAACACAAAGGCATGGCGGAGCTTTGCAAAACTTGCGATACGACAAAAAAATTATGTTCCAGAATAATGATTAGAGAAAAAATTTTAGAGAAAAATACTACAGAGGTGAAGTTGCCCTTCGCATACACAAGCAAAAATATGACCTACTGGGAAAAACTGAATGAGTATAACTTTGAGTCTACATAACTGCTAAGACTAATAAGCCACTTGTCTACATAGCCACGTTCACGAACAGCTTAACTATTTTTTTTGAGAAAAAAAACAAGGATCAAGCTACCTAAATAGATGTTTGCACTACGTTCTAACAAAAAATCATTTTGAGCTCATACGTATAAGAATTTAATCTTTGTTAAACGCCACTAAATATGAATGACTTACCCAACTCTTCTTTGCTGATCACTCCAAAATTCAACGCTATACTCAAGACACTTCGCATACTTTCAAATAGCTTATCTGAAACAACGAAAGACCTGATGAAAAACCAATTGTTTGAGTCAAAATAACAGCTAGCCTTCTTTGGTAAAAAAAAAACTAAAATACTTCAAATTTTGCAGGACGCTTACAAATTACTTCTATGAAACTACTAAATAATTGGAGGAAAAACTAGCACTACTTGATCAATGATATGTTTAGTAAAAGATATTCTACAAAAATTAAGAAGCGCATACTCGTAGAAATTTGTCGGAATTGCTATTAAAAATAGGATTTCTACCAAATGATATTTGCGACGCGATAGTTTTAATAGTGAATAATTAAAGCGTCATGAACTTCGATTCCTCTGAGACTAATGAAACTGTATACAAAGTGACTGAATTTTGGGCTGACTTGATCAAAGCCACCACTTCTTTATGCAGAGCCCATTTCACGTCTATATCATTTATCTTCACCAGTATTTCTCCACCTCTGAGCCCCGCTTTCTCCGCGATGCCTCCCGAGTCAACTTTTTCTACCATCACGGGTACATTTCCACGAACAGTGAATCCAAAACTTACGCTATTTGAAGCTCGTTCGAGGACTGTTTTCGCCGTCATCGTCCAGACATTTTTAGCATTGAAAATATTCGGAGGTCCCAACCTCGCGAAAAAGTCATCGCAGTCATCGCTTTCAAAATCTGGCTCAATTTCAGTCACCGCTTTTGAACCGTTGACAATGATCGGGTTTATGTCAAGGAACTCGATACTTAGATCGTCATTTTTATCCGGAAGCGTTTCCTCTAATTTCTCAGAGCGTTCTTTTGTATGTTGCAAGATTTCAACCAAGGAGTCAATATGCTTCAAATGCCTGTTCGATTTAATTTTTCGCGTGGCATCGTTATGTTTCTCCAGACTTATATCAATGTATGCTCGGGCAACATTCTTAGCCTTTGTCTCTGTTTCTATGTATTGATCGTAAATCTCATCCGGAAAGAATTGCATGGACAAAGCAACTTTTGAAGCGTAAAAATGTGCTAGTGCTGTATAGTGGCTGTATTTTGCAGAAACCAAGAGTGACCATGCTTGTGGAACATCAGTATTTAACTTCATAAGTGCCTCCAGCTTCTGATAGCCATGGACGACGCTCATTAGGTATTCCAGAAGCTTCCCGTTATTTGAATTCTCCTCGCTTTCATTCAAAGCAATTCTCTCAAATAGACATTCCTGTGCCTGTGCTAGCATCAATAACTCCAAAACTTCCTGACACTTCTCGGAAAGATCTGGACACGGCGTATTGATGAAGAACTTTCCAAGGTACTTGAACACCCCCGCCGCCATTTGGAAATGTTTCAGAGCCTCTTCAGCTCCATCAAATGTACTTCGATCTTGTTTTGTCGCAATTTGAGAATGCAGCGCTCCCATATTGAACAAAACTGCTGCCTTCTCAAAGTCGATAGAAAACTGGGTGTGTAAAGTGCCAGCAAGGCAATCAAACCAGCTGAAATGTATTCCGTTGCTTCTGAATTCGGATTTGAAAAAACGACACTCAATGTAAAACAAATGATTGAAGTATTCTTTCAGAACTTTTAATCCACTCTCTGTACGTGGTGGATTTAATGTTTGTGTTCTCAATGCGAAATACTCATCCAACTCCTTTTCGAAATCTTTTGGATTCTCTCCATAATGTTCCATTATCAGCTCCTCGAATCTCATTCTAGTCGAACTGTCAAATGCTACAGACTCTTTCAGTCCTACGGCCAACATAGTGAACGTCATTTGATTCCCTTCTTGGTTCTGGTAACTTTCGATGTTGCTGTTCAATTCGTGCAGCTTCTCTCTCAAAGTTGCCCATTGCGACTGAATATAGCTGAGCTCGAGCACTGCCTTTTCTCTTAGCTCCTTAGAATCGCATGCACGAACAAGATTTTCCGCACCTTGATATGTTTTATAGCTTTTGAATATTTGTTTATTTAGCTCCTTTCTTTGTTGCTGTATTTTTTCGCGAACGGAAGTCATCGCATTTTACTCTAAAACTCAATCTACACGTTCGAAAAAAAAGATACCACCCAACTGAAATGAGGCCTAACAAATCAAACTAGACAAGTCAACTTAAAAAAAAATAGTTGCACACCTTGGCTTAAATTTTACACAGACGCGAAGCTCACTAAAAACATTTGAGCATTAAAACTTGAAATCTCAACACAAACTATTTAAAATATCAAAAAAAATTCGATCAAAATTGCCTTTCAAGTGACAAAAAAGAAAGTAACTAAGCCGATAAAACATGAGCCGAAACCATTCAGGCAATAAGGAAACCAAAGAAATGTGACATTCGACCAGAATGTGAAAAATGCAATCTCTTCAGAATTCGAAACTTTAGCAGTAAGCCTTCCGGATTGGTGGTTTTTAAGAACTAAGAGCGTTATTGGAACGTTTGGCCAAACGGTGAGGGCTGGAATATTCTAGTATTTTAAAATTTAAAATTTCGAATTATGACGTCATATTTCTGAGAAACGTCAGAAACGGCCATTTTGACAAAAAACGAGAGAGAAAACACAACAACATTAGTTGCGCTGACGAGAACAACGATAATCGTGATTGAAAAACAGCAGCAGATTGCAGGAATAGCAGAGAACGTTCCGAGTTGCAACTATTGTGCTGCTACAATAGTTGCAAGGCCGTTGCGAACAACGGTGAAGGGTAAGAAACCAGCCTTCCGGATTAGGAAGAAATCAAGATTAACAAGCTTGATTCAGAAGAAGAAGAAGAAAGAACACTTGAATTACTATACAATAAAAAGCCGAGGCATCAGTGTAGCAAAGTGTAAATAATAAAATTGGTTATAAATTCATTGGTTACATCAAACAAAAACAAAACATCAGAAAACAAGCAATAAACAAAACAAAAAAAAAACAAAATCGGTTACAGTTCGGAAATTGGTTGATTAAAGTATATGAAGTTTCGGATACTATAGAAAATTAAAGATTTAAGAATTAGGAACAAGCTGGTAATAAAACTTTACAAACAATTTTACAGATAGTCCAATTATACAACGTATATGCAGAGTATATATAGTTTCTCTTTCAAGCAATGTGTGAAAAATTAAACTGAATTAAAAAATATAGAACTAGCAAAAACGGTAATCACGCCACGTATTTGTATTAGTACATATAGGATTGTTTCTCAATTCACTCACGTAAAATTCTTTCAATTTTTTCTTGAATTCTGTTTTCGATTTTTCTAAATTGCGCAAAATTATGGGCACTGAATTCCATTTTTTAGAAGTCAAATGAAAAAATGATTTTTGTAGAGAAGCAGTCGAACAATGTTTGTCAAAAATAATTTGTTTCGTTCTTTCGTTGAGCCTATAATTGGCAGTCGGTAGTCTCAGTGTGTTTTCAAAAGCCTTCTTTTTGTTTGTAAGATATTGGTATAAGTATGTTATACACTTTAACTCAATTCTTTTCTCGATTCCAATGAACGATTTGCTAATGCGAAGAAGGGAAGAAGATTTAAAATTCGATCTGAAATATGTTCTTTTTAGCGCCCAGTTCAACTGTTTCTCCAGAGATAGCATCAAAGTAGCATTAATTTGTTGTAAAAAAATTGCTGAATAATCTAAATGTGATAAAACAAGACAATGAAGCAAGGCAACTAATGATAATGTCGGCAGTTGTTGTCCAATTGTATCAATAGTTTTAATCCCTTGGGCCATTTTTTGGAGAATTGTTTTGATTTGAGCATGAAAAGATAAACTTGAATCAAGAATTATGCCTAAATATTTGCATTCTGATTTTTTGGCTACATAATGCCCACTAATTACTAGTTTATCAGTATCCACATTTTTGCTATCATTTTTTTGACAAAATGTTATAAATTCCGATTTAGATGCATTCAGATTCAATTGGTTCTCTGCAAAAAATTCCGTTAGATTATTGAGTGATTTTTGCAATCGATTCAAAGCATCCTCAGAAATTATAGAAGAGGAAAAAACCATACAGTCGTCAGCATATTGAACTAAAGTACAACCCTCATATAATCGCTCTTGTATGTCATTAACATAAATATTGAACAACAACGGACCAAGTACCGTTCCTTGTGGGACACCTCGTTTTATTTCAATCCAGTCTGAAAAAATTCCATTGACGTTTACTCTTTGAATACGTTTGTTTAGGAAGCTAGCAATTAAAGCATTTGCTCCATTTGAAAAACCGAGAGAAAGCATTTTTTCAATTAAAACTTCATGCGAAATAGAATCAAAAGCCTTGGACAGATCTAATAAAGCTGCATGTACGATTTTTTTTGAATCTATTTGATTTCGAATACTTTTTGTCACATAAACAAGAGCATCTTGTGTTGAAATGTTTTTGCGAAATCCGAATTGAAATGGTGTCATTATTTGAAATTTGTCAAGATGTTCTGTTATTTGGGCATGTAAAATTTTTTCAAAAATTTTAGAAAAAGCACTAGTTATTGATATTGGCCGATAATTTTTTGCATCCATTGGGTCATCTTTTTTGAACAAAGGGGTTACGTTTGCTTTTTTCAGTTCGATCGGGAAAATGTTCTCATCTAAGCAAGTATTTATGACAAAAGTTAAATGTGGAACTATAACTGATTGACCGTCAATGATTGCCCAAGCAGGTACGGTACAAGGTCCGAGAGGTTTTCCAACATTGATTTTTCGAACTATATCAAAGCATTGCTTCACTGTAATGTGTTGAAAATGAAAAGATGCAGATTCAGAGGCAGATTTGTTGTAATTCGGAGGCTTTTTAGCGCCGAAAAATTCGCCTAAGTTTGAAAAAATATAATTTAAATGATTGGCAATTTTTTTGTCTTGGGTTATCATTTCACTGAAGGAATTTCGTAGAACTGTAATTCGATGGTTGCCAGAACATGTACCTCTAACTTGGTTAATATATTTCCATTTTTGTTGGATAGTGCTGAGAAGTGAAAAACAATTTTTTGAATGATCGAATTGTTTACTTCTAATCAATTTGCTCATTTGATTACGTAAAAACTGGTACTTTGACCAATTATCGCTTGTGCTTTGACTGCGATATGATCTGAGTGAATTCTGTTTCTTAGTCAACAATTGCTGACATTCTGAATCGAACCATTCCGTTTTCAACACGTTTTTTGGTTTAAAATTACGAACAAATTTTTTTTCGATAGGAGCATGTTGCTGTAGAGCACAAGAAATTAAATAAATCATCGTCGAGAACATGTTTTGTGCGTCTGTACATTGATATAAGAGATACCAAGGAAGAGCGGAGAGTGAATTGCAAAATTCATTTTTCTGATAATTTTTCTTATTGAAAGTCGTAATTATCCTCGGTAAAATTTTGCCGCATTTTATATCCGTCAAAATAAATGAAGCAAAATGGTCGGTTTTATAAGGTGTATCAAAACAAAACTCAATGCCGTTTGTTTCATAGTCACTGATTATGTAGTCGATATGAGTTTTTGTTGAGGAACTAATTCTGGTCTCATCGTTTGGACAAAAAACCTTCAATCCATATGGAATAATTATAGAATCTAAATTTTCTTTTTCTTTGCTATCCAGATAATTTATGTTATAATCACCCAAAAGCGTAATTTTATTAGAAACTGAAAAAGCATTATCTATGTTAAGCGTTAATTGTTCCAAAAAATCAATAAAGTTTGATCTGCTTGGGTTATAACACAAATTAACTAACATTTTTTCTTTACTCGAAATGTTAAATGTAGATTTGCACTCAACCCACACTGACTCATATTTTTCTTTATCAAATAAATTTAGATCAGGCCTCAATTTCGGAGCCAATTTGACTGGTATATATAACAAAACGCCACCGCCTTTCTTTTTTACCGTTGATTGCCTATCATATCTGAACATCGCATGCGTTCTAGGTTGGAAATTCCATAAATTGTCACTATCTTCTTTTTTAAGCCACGTTTCGGAAATTCCTATAATTGTGTTTTCGCCCATATCATCAAGAAATTTTTTCAATTGCATCCGTTTTCTAATAATACTTTGAAAATTCAAATGAACAAATTTAAGATTTGCACAATTTTTTGAGCAGATACCGTAGACTGTTTCAATGGTTTCGATAGGACCAGGGTTTTTTTCAACATCCCCACTTTGGGTCAGTAACAACGCGAAAAGGAAAAGATGAGTCAGTGTGGTAGCTCTCCGCTCATTTATCCCACATTTCGTTGATAATATCTTTTGCTGGCAGCTTAGATAGCCCCAGTAAACAATAGTTTTTTCTTTAGTTTCCATCTGAGCCTTGGAAATTAGAAAAATTGCACAAAACAACCAGAATTTAATATTCAGCATAATAGGTTAAATAAATTAAATAATCGCCAAAGTTTGCACCAAGAAAAAATGCGAAACTAGTATTTCCTAAAAAATTTTGCACCGTTTTGGAAAAATTGTAACATTTCTGCCGTTTTTGGATCTAAATTTGATGATTGTTGGGTTTGCTTCATTCTGGGGCGGGTTGTAATCTCACATGTGTTTGCATTAATATCAGAACCCCTAAAAGAATCTCTAAAACTTTGCACCAAAATTTCAACACCCCCATCAGAAGGATGCAAACCATCCGAGCTAAGAGCATCTGTATTTTGGCTAAAAATTTTGTTTATGTCTAAAATATCCAATTTTACTTCGCCCAAGTCTTTTACATTCCGTACTAAATTAAGAATTTGCTTGTTTAGCTTCTGTACATTTGGATTAAAATCTTTTCTAAAAGCGCCTAAGGGAGTTACAGTACATAGTGAAATTGTTTCTGGGGAGAATTTATGATTTATGAGATAAATTAGTTTTTCTAAGCTACTCACGGCTTCCTTCGCGTCGAAATCACTTGAGAGGCAGTCATTTATTCCAATTAGCGTAGTTACATGTTTAAAATGTCGCGATTTACTGTTTCTCACGCGTTCCAGCAATGCAGAAATTTTGTGCCCACCAAATCCTCTCGCCAACACATTTTCCGATATTTGTTCCCCATTGATTCTGTTAACAATTGAGTCTCCCAGTAATAGGCCAGAATATTCTCCTTCTCG